TAGTTTTGCCGGGAGGTGTAATCAAATCTGGCTGCACTTTGCACAGTACAATGGGACTTCGCAGAAGCAGACGTGTGCTTATGGTCGTGCGTTATCTCGGATATTCAGCAAGCGATTTCTTAGAAGAGTCTGGTTTAATGCTTATCTGAGATTGACGAGGCTGGGACAAATGCCACTGTTAATATACGCCAGCCTGTTTATACTTTCATTATTGCAGGTGACCTTAAAGTAGAATCTTAGGAGAATGAGGTAAATGACAATGACAATGAATGCTCTATGTCCACAATACAAAAAAGCATGGAAAGAAACGAACGTTGGGAATATAGCTTCTGTTGTAATCCAGGAAACAATTTTGCTTCTCGAAGGTCAAAGCCAAAATAATTGTGGCTCTGTTGACGAATGACAACACAGAAGTTTCTATTTTTTCCAACCAGGGGGCTATCCACTGAAAATTAAAAAAAAAGCGTAGTGCTATTGCTACCCCTCTTCACCAGCTGCAACATATGGATTCTGCAAATAGCTTCAGATCTTTTGTCCCTCAGGAACATTGCTGTGAGGCCCTATTCAACGAGAAGGTATAAATGACCACCGATAATGTATAGAGGGTCTCTTATCCCGCAGATTGATCGATGTGTGGGGTTTTACGTCCCAAAACAACCGTTTGATGAAAAAAGTGGTGACAGTAGAGGGCCCCCACTATTGCGACCACCTCGGGTTCTTTAACGAGCATATGAGCCTACGGCATGTCCGCCTTCATCGAAAATGCGGCCGCCTCAGCCAGGACTCGATTCCGTGACCTGCGGGTAAGTAGCCGAGTACCTTAGCCACTAGACCACCGCGGTGATGCCTGCTATCACACTGCAGGTTTCGCATACCCTGTACGCGTTCACACTTTTCTCTTAATAGCGTAATTGCAGGATACGCATTGCGCTTTGTCGTACCCAAAGGGCGTAATAAAAGATTTCTAGAGTCCGCTGTGCTTGCTATTACACTCTATACAAAGGGACATTTCAAGGACAAAGGACAGTTTGGGAAAGAGTTCAGGTATCGCACAGCACAGTGAACGAAGTTTAAAGAAGCGTGATGTTTCAATTTCCATAAAGCACTGGTTCTTCGAAAAGTTGCAAGAGCCGATGTCAATTTTCTATTCGTTTGACGAGAGCCTATCGTACCCTCCAGTCTTGCATCGTACTAGCTTTCGTTTGCTCTGTCCAGAGCTCAGCGTACTTCATAAAGTACAGCATTACAACTTTAAAAAAAAATAATGGAACTCTATAAAATTAGAAGGTGTTCCTTTCTACTACATTTCAAAATGCACGAACCCCCATTAAAACGTAGCAAGTGCTTCTTTCGTACGTCTTCGTGAGTTAAGGAACTTAGCTATCTTCCTGGAAAATTTGAAGCTTATTCCATATGCAGTCAGTCGTTCAGTAGCCCTTAACAGATGGTCTAAAGGTATTTATTAGGGGCAACCAGTATTATGGTTCATTATTCTTGTGGCTGTAGTGCACTAAAATGAAGAAACAGAAGAGAGACACACAAACACGCAGCTCCACTGCCTTAGTAATATTATGGTGCTTCGATTTAAACATGTGTTCATTTGATCATGCATTGAGATGGCCGTCCTTTCCTTAGAGTATTTTTTCTGGTGTACAACATTACATACATCAAGTTCTTTTTATGGCGATACCAGACTAATCTAAAACGAAGATATACAGGGTGTCCTACGTAACATTAGACAGAAGTTTTAAATTATGCCGGGACACGCAATTATGACGTGACCAAACGCATGCTGCTTATTGTTGCCTAGAGTTGGTCAGACTAATTTTCGTGTTCCAAAAATTGTTTAATTAGATCTGTTTAATTAACCAACTTTTGATGAAACGAAGATGGATAAAAAATTTCAATGAAAAAGTTGTAGATTGGTTTGTGAAACTTCCAACTAAATAGTTTTGAACTTTATATATGTCAAGTATTAGTGTTTTTCTGTTAATTACAAAGGCTCGCGAAATGAAAAATACCCTGTGACAAACCCGCTCACGCGTCAGTGCGCACGATGATTGTAGTGCTCCCTAAGGTTCCGCGTACGAACGACACGCTTCCCTCGCACCGGTTCCTGACAGCGATAAGCAGTCACAGCTGTTATCGTTCCTGTGGCCGGTAGCAAAACGTGTTCATCCTAAAGCCACCACCATTGTTGCGGCCCTGCCGAGACAGCACAATGGGGCAAATGCAATGATCGCTCGTAAGCGGAACGTTACAGAACATTGGAATCATTGTGCGCACTGGCGCACGAGCCCGTTTGTCACGTTGTCACTTTTTCGCGGGCATTTGTAATTTGCAGAAAAACACTGATACCTAATGGATATAAAGTTCAAAACCCTCTAATCGAACGTTTTGCCAACCGATCTACAGCTTTCACAATCAAACTTTTGATCTACTTTCGTTTCTTGAAAAAATTGTGAATTAACATATCTAATTAAACATGATATTAAATACAAAAATAGTCTGACAAACTCCAGGCAATGGTGAGCAACGTGCATTTGGTCGCGTCCTAATCACGTGTGCCGGCACATTTTTAAACTCTGGCTAAAGTTACGTGGGACACCCTGTATGTACGATGAATTATTTTCAAGTCGGACACCCCTTAAAGGGCCACTCACCAGGCTCCCAAAATACAGAAAAGAGTGCAATATTCTTTCCTAATATATCTTGTACTTCTTGGCGCACTACTGTGACGCACTACCATGACGTCTACAGCGCACATGCTCTCGTTTCGTTGATATACGTGAAATAGCAGATGTGATTTGTCTCCTTCACTGCTCTGCCATGCGGCTGCCCATCCGTTCTTCTTTGTCTCGCATGAAAATCGTGCGCAAGAAACAGATCAAACCTTTTTTTTGTTTGTTTTTACAACTGCGCGAGTACTGATAACAGCGTGCAGCCGAGATGCGCGAAATCGCGATAGACTAGCGCTTAGTGCTGATATTGTTCACGTGCAATCAAAAACTAAGGGGTGAGGAGGGTGCATCGCGTGTATGAAGAAGAGGAGGAAATCACCCCCTTGTCTTTAAACGCGGGTTGGTGAGTGGCCCTTCGAAGCAACAAGGCTCCTCAACAACTAGCCAACATGAAACGAAACAAAAAAATCATGGCAACTTTGCACTGCTTTGCACTGCAGAAACAGTGAAGCTGGCCAGCCTTCCTTATCTTACCAACCAAGCCTGGCCCAGATATAGTCACATAAGCAGAACGAGGAGCAGTAAGGTTTAGGGAAGTCAAGTTAAGGCTCTCTGGCTTTTTTATTTATGTATTCATCTCTGCTCCTCGTCATACTAGAATTTAGTAACTCCCCTACTATCCCACCTACATCATCCAGTCTCTATCACTCGCTCTGTCTCTACACTGCCTTTGTCTACCCAATATGTCTACGCGTTTGCCGTTTCACTTTTGATATGCTTTTTTTCCTCCCACACCACTCAAGTTCCATTGCGGCTATAATGCTGTATTTTATGTGTTTCCCTAGCATAAAGATTAATTAACTCCTGTTCCCTAATGCTGCAGACATACTTAATTTGATTCCACCAGGCCAAAGATGTCGCTTTAAACACGTATTATTGCATGATTATGCGAGAGAGGATAGGTTAAGGTACCTCATTTAGAGTTTAAGGTTTTTCCTAGGATTTTTTCTTGACTTAAAGCGACTGCTGAGGCTCATATGCTTGACGAGCTGCTGCGTGTTCTATTATATAAAAACAAATGCTGGTATTTAAATGGCAGTTGAAGTTCGCACAATTCGCGAATTGCAAGTTTTACCAAACACAAAAGCTCTTAAGTATTCGAGTGTTTTGATTCGCAAGTAATAATTATTCCAAAAAAACTGCTAGCTTTTTCCTTCATATATATTTCCAACTTCTTACAGCCTCACCTGCACCTTTGTTGCAGACTGGAAGCTAATATTGTGCTTCAGCGTGTGAAATTGCGTTCAGCGAAAAAAGGTAGCAAGCTGGAATACATCAAAACCGCACCTTAAATACAAATTATCTCAAATCTGCCAATGTCTTCGAAGTTAATACCAAAAGATTCTTCTCAACTAAAAAACTCCAATACCTATTGCCAAATTCAGTGGGAGGTGGAACTCCTCTAATGCTTCAGACCGGGTATATTTTGTAGTCCGCGTGTCTCCTTTTTCACAACATGTAAGTCTATAAGGTACGGGGCTCAAGAAATTTGTAATCCACTTTCAGTGAAATTTATACTTGGAATTCTTGACGAACATATTCCCATCTATTTGAAAAATTCTGCGCTTATGTACAGGATCAAGCCGGATGTGCATGCTCCTTTCGATTTCAAGAATGCAAAGCCTATCACTAGCGGATAAGGAAATAGATAGATGCTGTGCACAGAACGGCGAAATAACAATATCAATTTTACTTGCGTGCCTACCTAATACAGAGTCACGACTGTGCATTAATATATTTCCCACCAAATTTCTGAAAATTGGAGCTTATGAAACATGGTTTGTTTTAACGGGGTTTCGCATGTTCGCAATGCAAGTTACAGTTCTTAACGTTTGCGGAATATCCGTGTTTATGCAAACGTACCACTAACTGTGCTCTAGTAGTTTTAATGTACCAGTATGTGGCGGTACATATTGTCATGAATAAGCAAAATCATCTCATTCAACATTCATAGGAGATCAGTGACATGATCCTAAACACTTGTGCTAAATTTGCCATGCGCTTGTAAATTAGCCTACTTATTATTGCCACTAGATTATTTTTTTTGTCCTTGGAACAGCTATATCAAGTGGTGTAGCCGACACGTCTAACAGGCCACAGAAGCGTTGATGTCGTTATTCAGAACAGCGTAAATTTACAGAATATAAAACACTTGAAATCTCGACATTCTCCGAGCTATGAATGGCGTATCGTGCATTTGTGAAAGCAACTAAAATAAATGAATATACAGAATTATTGTGTACTCAAAAGAGACATAGAACAAGTGTATTCTTGTTTTTATTCTTTCAGACACGGGGTGTTCTTACATATCGCCTCTTCTGGTCCGGTTCACATGGATGACGTTAACATCGCAAATGGCTAAAAGAATCAGCGGCCGAATCCATAGCCTCCTCCGTATCCACGGTTGAAGCCTCCACCATAGCCTCCGTATCCGCGGTTGAAACCACCGCCATAGCCTCCTCCATATCCACGGTTGTAGCCACCGCCATAGCCACCTCCGTATCCACCACCGTAGCCGAACTGGGCTGCTGCAAGGCTGCACATAGCAGCCAGCACGAAGAGGGCCACTAGGAAGGACTTCAGGGCAATCATGGGGACACTGAAAAGTGATCGATTAGATATTCAGTGCAGTGAAACACAAGAACATATTTATACATAGCCTGAACTGTCTGACATCATCGATGGTTAGTTTTTATATTTATATGTATACTGCTTTATGTACTTTGTAATGAAACTACTCAGATAAAATTATAAAACATAAATAATCTCTAGAAAGCTGAACTGACATTCTTATTAGCTGTTCTAATTGAAGAACGGCAGGTATTTTACATATATGCTGCTCTTCTTGCTAGCATGTAGAGGTTCTAGAGTACTCACCGAAAGTAATTCAAGTAATTTGCGATCTGGCGTATGATATATATATATATATATATATATATATATATATATATATGTATATATATATATATATATATATATATATATATATATATATATATATTGGGCCATCTTTATAGCACACACAAAACGGAACGACATCACGAACCTCATTTTTACGAAAACACCAACGCACCTTCGTTTCAAACAGTGGTCGCAAATATTGGTCGTCAAATGGCGTGATGGCATGTAAGTGTAAGCTCACGGTAAGCATCCTTATTTTCTCTGACTGTCATAGTGGCCATTAACCTCGCTGTTTTATAGCAAAGCCTGACCAGCCCTTCGTAGCACTAATATCCAAGGCGCATTTACAGCTGAGCCAACCTCTACTGCTGTTAGCCAGTCTCACATAAAACTAGTTACAAATGTATTATGAGACAAAATGGAAGCATTTTCTCCACAATGAAATTTCTTGGATTTTGTTCACGCATTAAAAAAAAGCAGCCAAGTATCCATAGAATCAAGTTGCTTTGGTGCACGCAACTATGCCTCTTAGCCATTGTTTTAAGTATTACTTGTTATGCTACGCGAGAGCATTGAAAACTAAAACAGGAACTTCCAGGACCTGCGTCTCGTGTTTTTTTTTCTTCTTAGCAGCTTTGTTTGATATAGTACTTCCAATATAACCAAAACATCACGTTTGCAATGTTGTTGAATTCCATATTGTGGTCAGAGGCGATACCGTAATTTGCTTTTCGTTCACTGAAAACGTCTTGCACATGCACAATTGTTCCATTAGAGTGCTGACTTTTGAGTGTATACTTAATTTATTTGAAACGTATATGCAGAAGCATTTGTTTTCACTTTTTCCTTGCGTCTCTCATAATCATATGGTGGTTTTGGGACGTTAAACCCCACATATCAATCACTTTTTTTGATGTTGTACGTCTTTGTGCGGCTGATAATAAGTATTTTACCGATTTTCAAATAACTATATTTTCACACATAAATCACAACCATATTACTTGAGTTATGAACGTGTTGTTTGCTAATGCAAGATCCGCCATGTTTCTTAAGCTTTCCTTTAGTTGTGCAGGAAAATGTACGAAAGCTATGCCAGATGCGCTATCAGTAGCCCAAATTCTTGTTGAGTACCTTGATGCCATATTCCACAGTAACTGTACACGCTGACTACGAATGAAATTGCCATGCTAACAATCGCGAATTGGTCCTGAAACAGTAACTATATCTTGCGTCGAAACCAGCACTATAGGGAAGATACTCGAACACTTACCTTTAGTCAAAGACTTCAAAGTCTGGTTGTTCTGCTCAGTGGTGGTCACTTTCTCTGGATGATGTTCGCCGCTCACTGCATCGTGTTTTTATTTGTGGCACCGCCGGATGCGCACCCTTCCAGGCCTTTCCGTTTTCTTGTGTGGGACATCGATAAGGACGCTCTACCGGGAAAAAGAGCCGACGAAGCTGTCCCCGTATCCACGCGCAACGATTTTCCACAAAAATAAAGGAAGGTCGACGATCCTGCATGAACACCACGTTGCAGTCCTGGAGGTTGTAACATTGTTTTTTGCTCGTTTTATCACTTCTATTCATTTATAGTGAATGAAAAGTTAATCTCAGCCTTGTTAGTGATAAATTTATTTCTGCTTATTCAGCACATGAATTGGTTTGCTGTAGCCTGCAAATAATAGGTTTACAGTAAAATGCCCTTGAACCGAGGTCAGGTAAAGAAACTATTTAGCTGCAAGAACTTGTTCTAATTGTGTGTCGAGGAACTATTGGTCGAAATGCTGCACCCTGTAATTTGAACAAAATATTTTAGCACGCAATTCAGTTTTACGAAAGCACTTTCTGACAAAAGGAAATTACTCTAATTTCAATTTGATGAAAAAATCTCCGAGAGAGTGGGTACAGACAGCCCTTAGCGGGTTGAGGACTACGTCCCCGGTCACCCTTGCGTTAAGGCATGCGTCTCTCTGGCTACACAAGATATTGTAGCTACCTTTCTGCCCCGGAAAAATAGGGGAGGAAGATTTGTAGATTGTACAGGAATAACAGAAATTCAGCTACAAAACCACTGGTGTACTTGAAAAAAAAACCCTCCCCTGCCGGGCAGAGTGTTGGGCCTGAAAAGGTTTATGAGCGTTTTCACTCATTGACTCAATTCCTGAGAACTGCAGTTCTAAGTGCACTGCGGGTGGAGATTTCAACAACTGATGGTTGATTTTGCTTCTGAAACTAAATTCCATTATGGATATTTCAGTTCGGCGAAATTTATATTTAATAATTCCTGCTGGGTTCTCCACACGTTCCTTGAAAAGAAGTTTGTCTTCCACACGTTCCTTGAAAAGAAGTTTGTCTGTAGTACCAGCTAATGCCATAACCCTCAGCCTAGAGGAAATGAAGGCAGTTCATAAGTAATAATCGCGAGAGAAGTAGGGCGTACAAATGCGGATGCCGGTTGTTTCGTTCTCCCCACCTTTGTTCGGGTTTTCACACTCAACCACTTGCGTAATGAACGTAGAAGCTCTTGTCTTCATAACGATCTTACCCAAGCGATATACACTGTTATCACATAACAGGAAACGTTAAAAGATCACACTGCAATCGCATTCATACACCATCAGTTTTATTCTATCCTGCCACGTTAAAAGCAGTTGCAACAACACTTGGTCTCTAAATCAGAGTTCAGGATGGCACTGGATTAGCAGATCCGGCTGGAAGTTGAATCTGTCTTCATCAGGTGTATCTGTTCTACAAGTTTGCGTCCTTTTTACAGAATGCACGTTTGCTCTGCGGTTGTGACCCTACCTCCTACAAATGACTTCCTCTTCCTATGGCTCTAAGACAGAAGCACATTTGGTATCACGTGACGTGAATAGACGGCCAAAGTAAATTACTTGTCCAAACATGCATAATAATGATCACATGGAAGTCATGTATGCCATAGTTTACGTCCACCTCGCAACGTTGTGCTGATTTTAAAGTAACATATCACCCTTCCGCAGGCGTGCTTTGCATGTCATTGGTTTCCATAGAGTTTCCCAATATACGCTATAAAGAGAACTCTGGCGCTAGTGTCTACGGGAGCTGCAATGCACGGCGCTTCAGCGAGCATAGGAATGATGGGTAGTGCACGCATATGTCTAATCTTCGTACTTCGGGCCTGCTTCTGGCTCCATGTGTGTATGTGTGGCTCGGAGCTGTTTTCTCACGAAACAAAAAATCAGCGATTGTTTTTCGGTTGTGCTTCACTACTGTATTTATTTAAAGCTTACCTTTTCAAATCAGGTCACGAAGGTCAAAAGGGTTCGCTTTTTTCGTTAAAACGAAACCATAATCAGCAATAAACGAAGCCGCAAGTACAATTCGCCACCCGCAAGTTCGAAGACTAGGCAAATGTGTGTACTAGCCATTATTCTCATATGCATAATCGCTGAACGATCGCAGCGCCAGAGTCCCCTCTAGTTAATTTTAGGAAACTCTATGTTGGCTCCCACTGTACGTGGGATGCGCCAATTTTTTTTTGTATGCAAGTTTAGAAGATACAGGTGCTGTTGTCATAAGATAAAGCGTTCCTTTCTCCAGTAAAATTGACCTATTCATTCCAATACGTTTATTTCATACTCGAGACCAAATTATTGCAGTGGGGAGTGGATACAAATACATGCAAAAGTAAAACAAAAACAAACAAGCAAAAGTGGCCAGGTAAAGAAGAATAATTGGTCAGTTAAGTCCCGGAGTTATGATGTCCGAAATGGTCAAGCGAAACTTTGAGTGGTTTTTCAGCTTATCAGTCTCTGTTCTCGTCGTCACATTAATGTTTGAAATTACAAAGAACCAGCGGGAATCACCATGAGTTAATTACCATGAGTTAATTACCATGAGTAGGGCATCGGACAGACGGCAGCCGCAAACATCCATGGCACATCCGCGTGCATTTTATGTTTTCAGTGGTGTGTTTGTTGTTCCGGAAGATCAAAAAAGATGTCGCGTACATGGTGCGTACCTTTGTGTCGATGTGTTTGGAATGAAAATGCTTAAAATGTGTATATTCAGGCTGTTCAGACAGAGAATGGTGGGTTAGTGACCAGAATTTGCTGCTTTCATACTTGATCCCCCGCAAATGCGTGTGTGCGAAAAGCACTTCAATGAGAGTGAGACTTTTTGCATGAACCAGTGGATAATTGAATGAGTTGTGCAGACGCCGCACGATGTTCCGAGAAGTTTGCTGGACGCTGTGGAGAGAACGGCGTCCCGGTACACATGTCTTGTGCGAGAAGGTCCAGAGGTCACCTGCCTACCATGCGTCGCCTGCAACCATCAGCTGAGCTAGAAACTGTCGAGGCTGCACCAATACTGTGGGTGAGCCCCTTTAACACAGTTGCCGTATCGGCGAAGCTATAGGCTCCTTTGATATCTGTGTACTGCCAGCACTAAGGTATATATATGAATAGCTGACCGTTATTGTGCCGGTGCGTGCATGGCGCGTCGTAGAGTTGTCCAAGACGGCGCACTGCGGAACTAGTACCGCTGGTTCGAATCCTTAGTTGGGTTTTTCAGAAATATTTTCTTCTGATTTTTTTTGTTTGGTGATTTTTATATAACGTTACATTCACATATGAGACATGACGGCCACGGTAAAAGTCTTCTTAGTGTGTGCATATAATTGCTATCACCCTAAACTTTGTTCCACTTGCGCAAATGTATAGATTACTTATGTGACAAAAGTGTAATTCTAAGTTTATATTGTTCGCCAAGAAGGTATTTATATGATACTTCTATTTCATTAAGTTCAATCTCAGGACGTGCTTGTAAGTGCATTAGGTGATAATTATATTAAATGCCTACTGCTCTCAAACTGGTCTTTGGGCTCTCTCGTAATGTCTACTGCATCTGTTCGGGCACAAACAACCGACTTGACGTAGTCAAAAAAAAACATAACCACCATATCTACAAAGTGATTTGTTAGAGGAGCTTGCTTGGAGGTGCACGGAACCTTTCTTGGCGAATCTATTTTTATAGAAAGGATCGCTAAAGGGCTCCTAAACCACCTCCAATATTTTTTGAAACATTTGAAGTAAACACGCGCATCTGTGCACAATGCCGTCGCGATGAACGATTCTACACGCGGCATTGCTACGAGCCCGCAGCGCGCCACAAACTCCGAGAAACAATCTTTTTTTTATTCCAGGGCCATTCGGGCCTCTGCATGACACGCCGTACAAATATGTTCGACAGACCGTTCCAATATCGACGCTAGCCGAAAATGCGCCGTGATTGGTTGAGCAAGAACCTACGACTCCCAGTTAGTCTTCAAGCAGCTGTCCGCGTTGCTTGTTGTTGTTGGTCATGTTGTGCGTGCCCGTGTGGTCAAGTCCATCGTGTTGGCGAGCCTTTGAAGGCGTGCGCGCAATGCAGGGTACACACCGGCGCGATTTGTATAAGTAAGGGCCTGCACAGCAGCCGTGGTTCACCAACAAACGCGTAGTTGATGGTGTCGATAGAGGGACAGAGTCGCGGCAACTAGAAGTAAACGGTGGTTCAAGCAGCGCGTGAGTGATGACGCGTAACATGCGATATTGGGAGACGCTCGGGGAGAGGGCAAATCGTATTTGGGAGAGGGTACCATTCAGTGTAGCGAAGGACAGAGTGAAAGGAGGGATTGTCGCGGTTTTGAAGATGAAACGCGTCTAACTTCACTTTTGCGTCACCGTTTCGAAAAACTTTCACAGCTTCGTGTTCGTCGTACGCTTGTGCACCATTTCCCCACCAGAACAGAACTTCGACCTCTGGGTGGTTTAGGGGCCCTTTAACAAGCCAGCGCATGATGTGTTGTACGTGGAAGGCACCGTTGTGGGGCATGTTCTAGGGCAAGCACTGCAGTGTTGCCCACTTCGATGGGCGCGTTAACCACCTGCCCCTTTACGCCATAGTGGATGCTGCCGGTAGTGAAATGCGTAACTCTCATAAATGGCAGACAAGGTGCTAACAGGTGTTTTTCGACGTGGCTTAGAGCAGGCAGGTGAGGAGGCTTGGGAGGATACCGGTACACGTGTGTAACACTCATCGTAGGAACTTGTCACGTGCTGCCGTGCCAACGAAAGACGAGAACAAAGTAGATATAGTCGTATAGTCAAGAGTCCGACGGAATCCCGTCTGGTCGGGGACAAACATAGTACAAAATAACAAAAACAAAAGCGCCGATCAAAGTGAAATACACAAAACCTAAAAAGACATATCGGCTCCCCACACGGGAGCCTTGTTCTCAGTGACCGCAAATGGCGTAGTGCGCTCTTCTTATGCATGTTTCATCACGTGTTGCCGACATCGCGCGTACACAGGGGGGATTGTCCCAATATTTCTGTTCAACGTATACGCAGTAGTTTGAATGGCCAGAGATTTTATGTGCAATCATGGTAACAACTTTCGTTCCGTGGCGATGATGCAGGCTTTATCCCTGCAGCGTCCGGCTCAGTCACACACCATTGCTACAAGAAAACACGCATCGGTGCCTTGCGTCCCAGGCTTCAGCGAGACGCTCGCTCGGATATTGCGTGGCTACGACGTCCAAGTGGCTCACGTTCCGACACGAAAGCTCCGAGGCCGTCTTACAAATGTCAAAGATAAGTTGGACAGACATGATTTTCCCGGCGTGGTGTATAAAATTCCTTGCAAAGACTGTGAATACGTATACATTGGCGAAACGGGCATTTACAAAAGAAGGCTCCGAGAACATTTTAATGACGTCAAAAACGAGAAAGTAGCTTTTAATACCCTCGCACAACATTTTGCGTCGACTGGGCACGCTATCGACTGGGATAAAGCCTGCATCATTGCCACGGAAAGAAAGTTGATACCACGATTGCACATGGAATCTGTGGCCATTCAAACTACTGCGCATACGTTGAACAGAAATATTGGGACACTCCCCCTGTGTACGCGCGATGTCTGCAACACGTGATGAAACATGCATAAGAAGAGCGCACTATGCCATTTGCGGTCATTGTGAACAAGGCACCCGTGTGGGGAGCCGAAACGTATTTTTAAGTTTTGTGTATTTCACCTTGGTCGGCGCTTTTGTTTTTGTTATTTAGACATAGTCGTGAGGAGGCGAGCGCACAGGTCATCGAAACAAACGCCTTGTGGGGCGGAGCGCCATTTAGTGAGCACTATTGAAACAACCCGGAAGGGCGCTGTGAGCGGTGACCGGAGCAGTGTACACTGGCAACAACGGTGTACATGCCGGCCACCGCCAGACAAGACACGAGAATAAGAGGCTTGCTCAGCAAGCTCCTAAAAAGTTTACATGACTTGAAAATACGGCCGGGCCTTGCCTTGCACAGGATTTTTCGTGCTATCATAAAAGATGCACAGCATAAGCGTTCTCTAGAAGCGATCTGTCCTGGTCTTTCTGGAGCTGTAAAGCCACTGGAAACATACACTCATTAAGAGCCGTTCTTAATCCTCCAATGAGAATTGGTGGTGGCCGTAGTCAATCGTACCTTCAGCAAGAGATGTGACTGCCTACGAGAACAATAATGACCAAGCCGTAAGCGTATCTGTATCATAAAGCGGCCGCTTTCTTTGTCTTTTTTTTTTTCGTTCTGCTTCGTCCTTTGCGCAGATCTATCGCAGCTAAATCGTGAAGGCCGTCTATATCAACGCTCTGTCGAATGCATACACTGCTCAATACTAAGTGCCTTGCTTGCGAAAGAACTTAGTTATTTCAGCTTACAATAGCTACCACCTTCTTGATGTTTATGTTCCTTACCTTGATTGGCCTTACTGCACGTGCTGGTTGGCCGATGTTATTTGAGCCTTGATTTGAGCAATAGATGTTTTAGTCGGCTGTTAGCGCCCATCCCGCGTGTTCTATTTGTTGTTCTTTCTTTTTTTGTTCTTTACTGCCATATGCGACCTTACCAAACAGCACAGGCTAGTACGCTACTAAACAACTTTTGTCATAGAAAATCTACCCACCTTTGATCAAACAAAGTGTTCATTGGGTGGCCCTCAATGTCAGATAAAGACCCGTGTTGTCCGTTCGGGCTTTAAAAGGCTTCTCAACACCTCGGCGTCGTCCTCTATGACGTTCTTTCAGAGAGCACGACGCGATGCTTTCTGTCGGACTCTTTAACCCGGTCTTGTGTCGTGGACCACGACGTATTGCCTTCGAAATTCAAAACCACTGACTCAACTTCTTTTGATAGAAGCGGCATTGTGTGTTTCACGTTTTTGTGGGGGTGCCATGTATTTGACTGTTAGTAAAGCACCGAGCAGGTTTCAGTGAGCCTAGAGTAAAAGCATGAACGCTTGCGCACGTCCAGAGCTGTTCAGGTCAACGTCGCTGTAGAAGACTGACCGTGTATAGACTGTGCAGGAAAAACGACGGTGTTTTATTTGAAAAAGAAACCCTTAAATATGCATCACTAACGCTTCCCGTCTTCGTCTTCCATCAACTACACTCTAAAAACTAAGGGATTGCCGGGCACTCTCTTTCGTAGCGAATTTTTTTTCTGAATATAAATTCTCTTGAGAGTAAATGCCCTCCTTTGCTGCAGAGTATAGTGACCTGCCCACGAAAGGGTATAGTACTACACAATAACGCTGTAAGATAACTTTTACCAAAACAGAGTTGCTGGACATCTCCGGAGGAAGGAGTTAAAAGCATGCAATGTCGGTGATCTGTAATCATATCTTTGCTTAGGATCGCAGATTTAAGTGTCGCCGCGAACGCTAAAACCAAACTGAATGAAGTTCATTCGTTTATCTCGTGCTAACCTGTAACAGACCGTCTAAACGGCTCGTATATTATTATGGAAGATTCACTCAAACTTAGATATATGCGGCCTTCACATTCGTTGAGTGATAAGCTGATCATATTTGCAAAGGAAACATAACACTTCTATAATGCAGACTAAACAAACAGGCTTTAGTTACCCTCTTTGACATACACTCGCTCATTTGTATTCATGTTTCGTGACTAGCCTTGATAGTTTTCTCTAGCTGTACCATATATTAGGCTTGAGACAGCACAATCTGCGTGACGTTCGTAGCAAAAAATGTAAATATTTAAACAAAAATAAATGAATAACCATTGAAATGTAGTTTTCATCATAACCTACTTACTAAAATATGATCAATCACTTAACTACACAAAGCTGAGGCTAAACATGCAGATAGTAAACATTAGCTGTGCGTTCCAGTGCGCGGAAAGGGGCTGGAAGGTGCTAGCTGCACAGTTTTTTTTATTACTAATTTCCTCTGCCATATCCCACGACTTGAGAACATTTTGCTTCATATGTGTTTTCTTATTTTTACTGGGATCACTTGTGGTATGTAGAGACATGAAATTGACCACGAGCATGATATGTGTTTCCCATGAAAGAACAGAATATTGGTAATTCACTGTCACAGAGTGAAGAAGAGTATAGGACACATTTCAATCTCTCTTTTGATACAGAATGAACAATGCCTTCCACTCCTATTCAATGTATTGCCAGAGTAACAAAATCTCTGCAGAGTAACCCGGCTTTTCTTCTCCTGCGATACACTCACCACTTTTTATAGTGCACATGTATATTTCTCTCCGCCTGCCTTTTCAGTAGTACGTGCTGCTTGCGCCGTGAAAAAATAGCCAAACCCTGCTCGATCAACCCATAATAACTGTGTTGAAAAATGCAGACGTCATCATTGAATCACATTGTGGGCAAACTTTTTTCACCAAGGATAAGTGCCCGATAATTGAGGAGGCATCAAATTTAGCCGCAGTGGATGAAAAAGCTGTATTTGAATGTGAACAAGTTAAGAACTTCTATCCTAAACACCAGTGCATTTAGCGATGTGGTGCGGAACGATCACTGTACAGGATTACCTTTACTTGTAATTTATTTTGTGTGACCATCATGCCAGTAGGATAATACGTATATTTTCTGAACTTGATGCGTATGATTTTTCATTTGGTAACGTTAATTAGAGGGCGCAGTTCTTCCCTAGGCATTTGTATTTGCTTGTTTTGTACAAGTAAACACGATGAGATTTCCTTTTTGAACGATTTTCTCATTGGTGTGATTGGCATATGCGTGTTAAGAAATACCAAAACACCTTATTAATTTGCAGGTGAACTCTACGCTGGGCTTAAATTTCTTTATTCAGGAACACTTAATTGGGAAAAAATAAAATCGTACTTTATTGAGTTCCTAAACGATGAGCAATATTGCTCATGCAGTACATTACTCGCTTTGCTATGAAGTGATGTGTGCAACGTCATTATGCGAATGCAAAACATATTGATCCTCACTTCTCGGCAGTGGTGACATTCTGTAGCCAGCAGACTGCTCTTCAAGTGGCGTTTAGCTTACGGATAACATCAGCGAGCAAAGAGTTAGTAGCGTCGTGATCCACCGTAGCCGCCGGATCCCCGGTAGCCTCCGTAGCTACCTGAACCACGCGAACCTCCGTAACTTCCGCGGCTGCCGCCGTAGCCTCCTCCAGAGCCACGGCCATAGCCTCCAGAACCACCGTAGCCACGGGAGCCACCGTATCCTCCCGAACTGCCGTATCCACGCTGGGCGGCGGTCATTCCACACAGCACAGCCACCACCAAGAGGGCGACGATGACACACTTGCGGTTCACTCCAAGCATAGCTGCGGCACGCAACTACGAAATAAGAATGAAAAAGTGGAGAAATATTACTAATGCGATTGAGCGTGGCAGCTTGGGCTAGTTGGTATGGCATGACGATAGTTATAGCGCGAGAACAAAACGACGACACAGAGACAAGAAGGACACGAAATACACGAGTGTATATACTCGTGTACTTCGTGTCCTTCTTGTCTGTGTGTCGTCGTTTTGTTCTCGCGCTATAACTATCGTCATGCGATTGAGCGATCGCGGATGATGCTGTAATACGCATAGTTTATGTGGCTGCTTCAATTTGTACAGTAAGTTCAGTGAAGACCCACAAGTCACACAGGAGAATAAGAGAATAACAGGCTGAGGCAGGTGGAGATGCACAGTGGTGTTATGTGACAAAAGAAAGAAGGACAAGAAAGAGTTTGGAGAACGCTAGAAAAATACAGCATACATCATTTATTTTCCGAGCTTTGAACTTATGTGCTGTAGTGTCAGGATTTTCAACACACCGGATTTGACATGATGTTTCCTTCACTTTCCGATTACAAATAGCCGATACCCTAATATTGAAAAGTCCAGCTTAAGGCTGATTTTCCATACATCGGCAATGGAAACCTACATTGTAATGTGGCCGTTAAGAGCCGAGCCTTCATAAATGCATGTGCAAATAATATGCCACGTTGTTCTGACGATTTTGACAGAAGTGGCATAATGCAGAGTTTAGAAATCGTCCTTTTGAACTATGCCCTCACTTACCTTTCAAAATATAAAAATGCGGAATGTTTTCTGCCAAATGTCATCAATTTCACCCTGCGGCATGATGTTTATTATTTCAGCTGTTTATGAAGGTTGAAATCTCGTATATATTTTGACTCTAACATATGTCTACCCTGCCAATCCTGAATTGCTGGCACCCGTCCATGAACCAACTGAGCCTTTGTGACGAGGCATCTCGAATGTGGTAATGCTGCACCATAAGAGGCCTCTGAAGAGAGTATATTGACAATACTTATCTCGAAGCATGTATGCTGCAGAATACAATAGAGCCATATGCCCAAACAGTTCCTCAGTGAGTGCTCACTACACTGGATCTTTTATTGTAGTTGACATACCTACAGCATGCTCAAACAAGCAAGCAAGTATTTCTGGTTAGTTAACGAGGATGATTTCTTTTATGGTATTCATTGAAGAACGTCAAAACTAATGGTGCGGAGTGCAAGGCTATTCGGTCGCCAAACTGTCCACGCATAGATTTTAGCTTAAGCGCGAGGCAGCCAAGCGAAGCCAACCAATGTCTGTCGCGGTCGACCAGTGAACTTGAGTGGTGACGCGCAGTACCATATGGACAGTGCTGGTGAAATTAATTGTGAAATTTGAAGCTGTTCCAGGCGGGGCCATGGCGAGATTTCCTCGGCCACGCAGTCTTTTAGAGGTTATGTTGTGATATTTGTTATATACCTTTCTGGCCACACTGTACCATGGTTTATATAAACGCCACCACGTACTGTCGGGTAAGGACAATTCTTAGCGGAAAGCCGTGCCCAAGAAATGAGCTCGATCAGCAAATATGTACATAATTACCACATTGTGAACTGTGCGTAAAAGTCCGCTATACCAAAGAGAAGCACTGTTGGCTTCACTTCTTTTCTTCTCAAAATAAGGCGTTCCTCCATGCAGAACGACATACTTTGCAGCAACAAACTTTCATTTAAAAATACACAGGGTCTTTTATTTGTTCATTTTACTTTTACAGGTGAAGTGTCACCCCAGGTAACAACGCTTTCTTCAAGAATTTTACCCTCCTGAATCAAGTGAGCCCCATATATCCTTCTTTAAATGGTGCATCTTTAAAAGACTTGAACAATCGGAGAGACGTGTAATCGTTCAGGCTTCAATGTGACATGTCACCTGCCCTTATGTTGAAGATACAGGACATCATGTTGCATGGGTAGCTGACGCTAAGGAATAAAGGAAATTAAGAGCATTGCTCAATAAGTACAAAGCACAATGTCACTGAAGTTGGTGGTCACCGCAGAGAGTCTTAAAATTGCAATATGTATCGCCAGCGGGGCGGCTGTGGGCGCGCCGACCACAGAAGGAGAGTACAATGAACGCTGGCGTGGTCGCAATTCACGCTCAGCGGCCGCTGACACACCGTCGCGCCTGAGGTTCGCGCAAGTAAAGGTGCATTTCTATGTGCTTGTCTCGTCTCTGAAGAGTTCCGGGCAAGTCGCCGCCCGGAGCCACAGAATACATTCTCGACGTCAGAACTTTCCTGACCTGTGGGTTTTTGATATTGACCTTATGCGTTGCCCAGCAGATCACCTCTAGTCCATCAACACAAAGTATTGCAATGAAGCAGTCTTAGCAGGTGTACTTTACCTATGTTCTGTCTCTATTATATGGATGGCATTGGACACCATGTCATCGTAGTTGCTAATATCAAGAGATCAAAAATTCTAAAGCAATACTTGATCAGCGTATCAAGCACCATGCCACGGAAGTTGGTGATCCCCTGGGGGGACCACTATGCAGGAATTGCCTTAAAACAGTGATAATATGTCATTTTTATTGTTGTAAAGGAGGTTGTTTTGAAAATATATACAAGTGGCCTCGAGGATGAGATGGATGTGCGCTACGCAAAGTGCCCCTTTGGACCTGCGGGCAAAGAAGTACGGCTTTAAGACCATTTACCGAAAGTGAACAGTAGTCGCTTACTGCATGGCGGCCCTCTCTGGTGGCGACCCAATACCTTTTGAACTAAGGTCGGCCATTTTTATGTGGGAAAGACAGTTTCTGTGAAACAGTTTGCCTTTTTTTTAACAAAGCTTTGTTTTCCGCCGAATAAGGAGCATCAATCATGAAACGTGCTTCAATCAGGCGAAACGACTAAAAGGTGAAACCCATCTTTTTTTTCTTCTCAGTAGATGTACAGGTGCTAGCCCGTCACTCTAACGCAAACTGTCTGCACCTATCCAGGTTTTGTACTCCTCCCAGAAATGGAGGCAGCTCATAAGTCTTATCATTGCCTCCGTGATCGCATTATATTCAACCAAGCCACGATGTCTTATAGTCATGCCACAGTGAAACCTACGCCACCTAATGTCATGGTGACGTCACAATACATTCCAAATGTCGGCGCCGCCATATCGTGACGATAATTTTTTGCATCATCTGTTCTAGATGATACGAGACGCCAATGGTCCGACTTTTCTTTGTTAAAGCATGTAAGCTTTTTGCCTAACAATTTATCTCCGGTCGTTATGGCAAAAGATTTTCACCCAAGAAATTAACAAAATATACAATGTAACATTATAATTTTTTTGTAAACTTTCTATTCTGAAGAGCAAAACGAATACAAAATAAACGAACCGCTAGATACTGCAGCCTCATAGTAACCACTTAGAATAACAAGAAACGTGTGTGATTAAAGCAAGTTATCCACAAGCAAAAAAAAAAATACCTGTGCACTCTCCCGTGGCCTAGCTTCAAATGATTTCGCAAGAACCATTAAAGTACTTTGAAGTCTGACCCCCAAAATCATGCCCTAACGCATGCAAAATTCTTGCTGGGATGCTTACCGTGATGTCCCTTTTATTTATGGAATTACCATACAGTAAATAGCGACAGGGACAGAATTACTCGTTGAACTCACCTTTTTTTGAGGATTGAGATGTAAGGTCCCTGAGGTGGCATCAAAAGTGTGTGATGGACACCACTACTTGGGGCTCCTGTTTATATTTGGAGCTTCTGCGGAAGCGTTACCAGGGATACATATCCACGTGTGTGCATGCTGCAGCGATTAGACAGCACAACCGGGAAAATGCTCCTGTTTGTGTGCCGTTTTCACTTCCGAATCTCGGTACACACCACAGATACGCAGATACCAAAACACCTTTTCGCAAAGTGAAAAACAATTATACAAGGCATTTTGAAGCGAACAAATGTAGAAAGCATATATTTCATTTCGATGACAACTGAGCGCATTTGCATCCGTTAGGTTTTTATAACCGTTACTTAAGCCTTACGCCTGCTACCCAGCACGACTGTAAAAATATGCTATGTCACTGTGTGATACTCTGTTGCCATTTAGCATGAATATTTGTGAATTGTTTAAGCAGCAACCTAATTATGTCATTTTTGAATAAATTAGGTAAATGCCACGAAGTGTGGAAATTAAAATATGTAACTCATCTTTGAACAAAATTAAGAAGGCGAAGGCATAACGGAGTACTCATCCATACTGCACTCTAAACAAGCCAATGGATTTATGCGTGTGATGTGAAAGAAATCGTTTTCTTCAGTTATTAAAGCGCCATCTGCTTTGGTGACAGACTTTAGTTGCTAAATTTAGCTACCGTTTATGTATTCATCGTCTCACCATTCATCGTCTTGCTCGTCGTTCTGCTGACGGAAACATCATGATGATAAACGTACCCAAAAGTATTCTGCTTGATGACGCAGCTACAGATACTTGCTCAAAAATTCTACGGAAATGATATGCAATTTTTTTTTACTGAAATGATGAAATAGGAGAAGCTGGTGCCATAATGGGGGCAATGGCGATGAGTTCTCACTTGGCAGACAAAATATTTTTGCAAGAAAAATAATAATAGCACAGTATGCAATACAGTAGAACATAGGATGTGAGAGAACAGCACATCCGAAGGTGACTTGGCAGTTAAGATATGCCTAATAGGTTCTTATGTACACAAGTTTTGTATCACAAGTTCCACACACCCAGTCAGCTCACCCTGAGACAAGTGATTACAAATTAAATTTAACACACAATCTCAGTATTACACATTTCCTTTAAAAAGAAGGGAAATGCGACATCATGTCCTGTAAATCAATATTTCTATTGAATATTTCACTCTTCAAGCAACTTCTTGAAGGCGACAAGTGCTCTTGTCGGAAGTCCTGCAGTTGGTCATGGACATGATATTTTCTTTACAGTGAAAGACCACCTGTATTATTGTAGCAAGTTTCCTCGTAATTATTTTCGTTGT